GAGATGTGCGCATAGCAATATCGATCGCCGGGCGGTCACATCTTGCCACGCGCTCGAATTGGGCGGTAGGCCGGCCTAAGACAACGATTTTTAATAATTAATTACTCGTTAACTATTACGAAAAGTGCAAAATGGTACAGGACTTTTCCGTTCATCTCGACCCGTTTTACCTTCTCAAAAATTTTGTCGGATATGGAAAGACTCACCCTGTATAACCGAACCGCGAGACGCAGCTCAAATGTTTCTCAAGCGAGTCATCCTTCTACGTATCGTTTTACTAAATATTCTTTATGTTCTCGTGTGTGTAATAATTGCTTCTTTAAATCTATGAGAATAATCATTTCATCTCATTAAGCTACGACGACGTGGTCTCTGCGAGCATTTTGTTGATTCTCCGTTACCCGAGGATTATCACACTTCGAAATTCCACGCTTCCAACTCAGCATGGTTACCTTTGTTGTCTCAGACATGCGTTGCGGTCTTATGTACGGCGGCTACGGGGCATCTGGGGGTGCCTGGTGGGCCCGTCACATGGGCCTGCTGCTGCCACATTCTTTGCTCCCGCCTACGAGAATCCCATCCCAACAGACGACACCGGTCACGAACTGCTCGCCCGTTCATTCGGAACCTCTCAGTCCGGCACGTCCCGGATCACCCCGAAGATCCACGCCGGAGAAGGCCAAATTCGGTGAGATTTCATTGAATCTCTCTTAAATCACCTTGCAAGTGTTTAGCATGTTACGACTGCGGGACAGAGAAGAGACTCTCGCCCAGGGCATTATTGTCTAGAAAGCACCAGGTCGTACCGAATTTGTCGGAGCAAGTCAGTTCGAGTTATAGTTTGTTAACTTGATGATTTGATCGATATACTTTGAAAGCATCAATTATGCGCGTGAATTCTGCCATTGTTTCGTATACTATTATATGAAAAAATGCCCGGTCGCTGAATTGGGCGTCGTATGTATAACGTAATTGGACCGACATTATGCAAGTTCAATAGTAATAAGTGCAGAGACACGAATATTTCGGTGAAACAATTGAATATTTTCACCTGATAACGATCTCGACTTAGAGGAGTAAGTCTAGTGAAGTTGCCTCTAGCCAGCCACCCGGGATAAACCTTTTTCAGAGCGTTTCAAACGTGCTCTTAAAAAAAAAGTAGACCGGTTAATGAGCAATTATCGGTAAGTGGGTGCTATCGATCGACCAACGTTGTCACATCATTTATCGCCGCCGCTCAACTGCATGGATACTAATTACGATCAATTAATTGCTATCTGCGCATATGTGTGTATCTACATGGTGTGCAAAAACTATAAAATTTCTCCGCCTTTCGTGATGATATTACATGATCGATCATAAATTATCACTTCTTTTTATCGATAACATAATGTAACGATGGCACGAAGTTTCTTGTTTCTTTGTGTTGTGTGTCCGCGTTATAAATACGCTCAATGAAATTTATCATGAAATATTTTAAATGCATTGAGAAAAATGTCCGGTTAAATATAATCGGATAATCCAATTACGTAACAACAAACGGATATATCCGATTAAGTTGTATATCCGATACAAAGTGTGATCGGTTTTTTCAATCAAGTTTCATCGGATAAATTTCGTCGGATGTATTTGTAATTTAATCGGAAAACGTAATCGTAATTGTTTCTTACATATTATAAAATTCACACCGTCCTATACGTAGGAAACATTCTTTTTAATATCAAACAGGCGAAGTAGTGCATTTGGTCTTACGATGCACGCGGTTCGATTAGCCATACGGTTTTCGAAACGAGAGATGCGGCGATTTGGCGAGCGTTCGACTGTCGAAATAGACGGGCGACTTCTCATTTCAGAGGAGGAGGTGCCGTTGAACCTCAGCACGAAGCCGAGCGACGTCTCGTCGAGCGTCGGCAGCAGAAAAAGTGAAATCTGGTCGCCGGGCTCGGTGTGCGAGAGGGAGGCCAGGGAAACGAGAGCACCGTCCTCCAGGAGTCCGTCCTCGACCCCTATAATTACGCGGCAAATTCATCATTCACCGCTTACACCGCCCTCCTCGACGGAAAGGACTTTTCAAGTGAGTGTTCCCTATACCTCCTTATTCTCACTGATGCGCTTTATCCCTGCTTCATCGGGCACCGACCGCTGAAGTTGTTCGCTCCGTTATGGAGTTGTTGACGCGTTGCGAAGTAGGTACTCAAAAACAGCGTACTCGATCGTGACTTTTAATCAACATAACGCAATTCTCTCTTTAAAAGAGAAGCGCGTCTTGGAGAGAATGTATTCCTCGTCGTCTCAATCGATTCGGAAAAGTAGAATATCAAAGTTTCTCGACTTGCCGAAAACACTCGGTACTACCGTTGCAAAGAACATGGTGTAAAGATACAAGGTGAAGCGGTCTGGTGGATGCGCAGTGTCTACCAATCAGAAGTGGCTCAAACTACCGAATTGGCCAATCAGAAATTTGCATTGACCTGCAAATAATTGCGGTTGAATGCAGAAAGAACCAATTAACAATTTTGTGCCTCAAAAATTGGTTTACATATGCGCAATGTTTCAACTTGTATCTTTACACCGTGGTAAAGAAAGAAACTTTGCACGACGCGCAAATCGTACAGGCGATTCATTGCGAATCCGCTGTCGCGGAAGGTGGCCGATAGGCTTTCGGGGAAGACGACTGATATCGGTCCTGGAAATCTCGACTTCACGATGTTCCTATCGGCAAGTGGACCGCACGGTCGCGCGCGTGTCTCGTACGATGCCGACTTTACGAGGTCGGCAAACATTCGACTCGAGCTTTTACTGGCGATCGCGTCTCGAACTCGTAAAGAAGCTTCGATTTCCACACGCGACTCGTATCGACCGAACGTCCGATCGCGGCACCCCTAAACAACGTATCGCCGGCGGTAATTGGTACCATCTTAGCGACCTTCCCCTCTGCTTTTTCTCCGTTCCTTCCCTCCGTTTTAGAGCTTTGATGCGAGCTATCTGTTTCCGAGAATCTAACCGCACAGTCGTTTTAACTGACAGCTATAATCAACCCATTGACATTAATAGTTTACTCGACGGGAGAATAAGCTGTCCGTTGATTGTTTGGATTAATTCTGTTTTTTTTATGTCTCGCTAATAACAAGTTGTTTGATTACTTTTTAAAGGGCAAACATAATATTTTTTTATAGATAGACCACTGAGGAAATATTATGAATTCAACGTAAAATGCTTAGAACTACGACAAAAAGTTGTCAATTGTGAGCATCTAAGAAATATAACGGAATGTAAAATTGATTAGAAGATTAAACAGCAACATTTGAGACGGAATTGACTGTTCTTCTTAATCAACGTACTTTCAATGTTTCGCAAATAAGTTAACTTGGTGATTTTTCTGTACAAACAAAGACAAAAGCATTATTCTCGGCCGGATTAACAGTTACGAGCTCAGCTTCTCAGAACGCGACAGCTTTTGAAAAAGGTCGCTGATGATCGATATGTGGAACTGGTAGATGTCCGTTCTTTTTTTTTACGAGCCACGGGAAAGTTCTCTTTGCCAATCTGACGGTCAGGTCACGTTGATTTTCTTGAAAATCAACGTTTTTCTCCTCCAACCATGCGAAGATTTTTAATCGCACAGGATAAACGGTTTATTCAGGCGCGTGTCAACCTACATACTAAATATAGCTGTGCACAAATTTTGGAAGTAAAACGACTTGAATTTTTATAGCTAATTCAACAATTAATAATCACGTTTCGATTGGTGATCGATTTAACGAACGCTACTGCGTATCACAGTAATATTTCGCGGAGCAAATGTAAATGCACTCCAGCAGGCGGCTAAAGAAACTAAATAAATTCCGACGGATCGTTATAAGAGCGGCCCGTAATGACTCCGTATCACTTTCGAGCAGCTTTAAAAGAAGCGCCGTCAAACGTTTACGTTTAAATTAGACATCATCGTCTGAGCCATCACGCATCTGTTACAACACAGGCACGGTCTATAATCATTAACATAACGAAGCAATCCGGACGGACGAGTTGTCGAACGCGCGCCGGTCCATCCTCGCGGCTTTATCGCGGCGCGACGTTTCCTCTCGGTACGCACTGAGGCGACCGGGGTTTTACGCGTGTCTACATACCGAGCGTAAAACCGGTCGATCTCCGTTCCGTTCGGAGAAAGAAAAAATCGGACCTGGGCGCGCGGAGTCACGCGATATGAATTTCTTCGGGGCGCGCAAATACCCTTAAGTGCGAGCCGGGGCGAGGAAACGGGTCAAACGTTTTCGACGAGTACACGGACCTCGACAAAAGACCTCGCCGCCTCAATTACGTGTGATTGAATGGAAGTAGAGAAACTCGCCTCGCCGTGGTTTTATGTCCGCGACACGTAACCGTAACTCGACATATTAGGATATGTGGGCCGCACACACGCGCGACAATATGCATGCACACACGTGTACACGTGTGTATACGTTATGTGAAATTGACGTTAAACTCTTGATATCCCTCAACCTTTTAGTCATTACTTCAGCCTAGATTTAGTCACCACAGCTCGCTATTAAAATGCTATCAGCTTCGAAATTAGGGTATTAAGATAATCGGATTTCCAACTCTTACGATTTTTTTTCCAAGTTTTAGAATTTGCACTTTTCTTACTGCACAAATGTATTACCTATTTTGTAATTACATCAATACTAGCAGAAAGAATTTACGATTAATTGTCTGTTCTACTACTGACACATGCTTTCGCATTTCATTACAATTTTGCTTTTGGTATCAGCGATTTTCGTAAAATCTTGTAAATCTCCTTACAAGAATGTACAACCAGAAAAAAGATTTAGTTAGATTAAACAAATGAGATACGTTGAAATCATATTTCTACTAAATTTATATCTACTTGTACTAACAATAAGACACTTGCTAGATTTGAAGAAATGGATACGAATTCTTTTAGAAATTCCAGTCTCAATCAAATAAAATTTTTGGTTAAGGTAAAGAAATCATTTCTTCGAAATGAAACAAAAGTCTAGTGAGGTCGAAATTCAAAGACAATTTGTTTGATTTCAAACAAACTTTTTTTCTGGGTGTAAACGCAAAGATTTTAATAGATCAATGTCGCGAGCTTTACGTCCGCTTTCAGGCGAGGCTGAAGGGATCGCCTCTTTTTTGACAGATGCAACTTTCACTCATTTTATTCGCTGCAATCTCATTTTTTACAAAGTATCAAAATTGATAATATTATAATTTTTAATAACTCACGAGTTTCCAAACGAGATTCCCCGATCAAATAACACTTTTCTTATGCGATTCACCTGGATGTTTCTATGTTCTGCCTTTGTGAGGCTTAAGCTTAAAGAGAAAATGGCTTAACAACGTGCCACTCGCCTAGATAATTAATCGGTATTCGCCATTCGACGATATTTCGGTAAGCCGTCGTCCGTGGGAAAGCCGCGGTCTTTTTTATTTAATTCGCGCCTTCGCCGACGAGCGACAGATGTTCCGGGCCGGGCACAAAGAGCGTCGCAAGAGATTAACGGTAATTACGCGATTTCGAGGAGCTGCGGCGAATCGCGAGGAGCGCGTAAACTGGAAGGCGGCCGGAGAACAAGACGTAGGCACGGACTCTCTCTCTCTCTCTCTCTCTCTCTCTCTCTCTCTCTCTCTCTCTCTCTCTCTCTCTCTTTTCTCCCCTCTATCTCTTTCTCGGCTTTGTTTCCGAATCGTACCGGAAGCAGACGCTTTCGTGCGGCGACAATGGCGAAGCCGCCTCGTCTCGTCCACCTTCCTTCCCACAATCCGTCGTTTCCTTCGCAATCTCTCGACACAGGCGTGTTCCGGCGGTGCTTATTAACGAAAACCCTCCCACCAAGACGCCGCTTTCCTTTCTTTTCCCTCGTCCTTATCCGCGAACTGGATGACCGCGTCCCACCGTTGACCGCTCCGAGAGCATCTATCTTGCCAGGTGGACGACGAGCGCAATTAAGGGTGACAATTGTCGCGGGCGTCTCTATTGTCTCGATCGGTGCACCGACAACACGACCATCTTGCTTTAATTACGGCTAAGTGGCCGAATATACTCTGTCCTTTATTCTGACATTTAACGGTTCACTTGCATACGTTGACTGGAAGAGTCTCCTCGTCGAAAGACAAAACCGGGCAAAGTCTTTATATTATTACGTTTAAAATCTGGACTATACAGGGTGTTCCAGAAAGAAAGGTATTGACCTTTCTGGGGGGGGGGGGGGATTATAGTATCGGTCATTTTGAGGAAAAATGTTCATATGAATAAATGTCCCGTTCCCCACTGTTTCCGAGATTGAGCTATTCGAATGTACAGCTGCAAAATTACTGACAAGAAAGAAATACTACGTACCGTTTCTAATATTTATCGTTGACGATTCGGTATTCTGCGCGTGGGAAAGCGTCGACGGTATTCTCCAACAGCAGCAGTAGCACTACCGTCACAGAAACCGTAAACGTACGGCATATCCGCATATTCGACATTAGCGAATATGCCAGGCAATTTGAACATTTCTACAATGTTATCAGCACGACAGTCAACAGACGTACAAAAGTAAATTCCCTTTTCTTTTTAAGTTTACCCTTTTATGGGTACGCCTTTCAACCGTTACGTTATACCAGCGTGTTATTTCTAAAAATTCCTTGAAATTCATTGTGCTTAATCGCAAACACTGAATCCAACACTAGGTCAATATTCTTATCTTAAACTCCTTCAGGTGCTGAATCTTTGTAAATTTTCCCCGACGGAAAATATGCGGGACAAAGGTCGGGATCGAACCGAGGACCCTACTATTACTAATCACTCGTGTTAGCGCAGAGCTACACGTCATCCCAAAAGTAAATTCCCGCATTCTTTTATGAGACGTTGGATGAAAGGTGAAGCGTACAGAAAAAGAGTAAATACACGAGCCATTCAAGTAGCTGTATCTCGGAAACAGTGGGAAATGAGTCATATGTTCATATGGACATTTTTGCTTAAAATCGACCGATACTATCACCTCCCAGAATATTGACCTTTCTTTCTTCTGGAACACCCTATATACAAGATATAACTGTGAGATTTAGTATCGAGGCTGGTCCTTTCTTGAGTATCCTCGCACGTACACAATGTGTCACCGATAATCTTTGAACGTGCTGCATTCCGAGAGTTCTATCGACGATCCCGCCGAGAGGGCAACCGCGATATCGCGATAATCGCCGATCTCCGTCACGCGGTCGATTATGGCTTTCCTTTGAGGCATGTGTATAAAGTTCACATATGTACATAGAGCATACATATGTATAGAGTTCACTGCTTTTAGGAGACACAAATCGACACACGTTAACCACAGATAGATAAGACTTCTATATGCTACTAGACTGCTATCTTCGAGCTGAAAAGTGTGGCAAGAGTCCCGCCATGTCTCACTAGGTAAATAAAGTAGCGTGCGTGCACACATGGAGGAAAGCCCTCCCTTAAGAAAAAATGCAGTCAAAACTGATAAAAAAAAACTGACCACTAACTGATGAATAACTGATCATTGTAACTGATGACAGCACAACCGGTGTATTGAAACAATTTTACCAGTTACTAATATAAAAGCTGGTCATCTGTTCAGTTTTATATTCATTAGTAATTTATAAAACTTCCAGTTCTAGTTGAGCCATCGGTTGAGTCACCAGTTGTAGCTGATCAGTTGTCCAGTTGTCAGTTCAGTTTCCTTTCACTAGTCCTGTTAAACATTTTTTTATAACAGCATCAGTGATTTTTATTGACCGTATCTGGCAATTTTTATAATACAGAAAATTTATTGCGAAAAATATTACCTCAGCCAGGGTTTGAACATGGACCTGCCTTCTCTCTGAGACGCCCGTCTAGTTTTCGCAAATAAATTTTCTGTATTATAAAAATTGCCAGATACGGTCAATAAAAATCACTGATGCTGTTAATTACTGCTGGCGACTTTTAAGAATATTCTTACTAATTTTTGATAACAATGTATATATATTACACAAGTATTTCATTACTATTGTTGTTTGTGTAACAGTAAAACTATTACAATTGATTATTGACCGTCACAAACTTACTAATTAAGAAAAAGAACTGATGCTGCTTTTTCTTAAGGGCTCTATTATAAGATAGGTTTTCAATACCCAAATTCAATCACAAATCTTTTTTCGCAACGATTACGCGATCTAACAATGAATTTTCCACCAAACAGATTTTGCTTCAAGCAATAAATTCATGGCGGAATCAACCGATGATGCCTATTATTGTAATTTAACAAAACCTTGCTATTTCATATTAGGGGATCCTATCTCATAATAGGAGACTTTCCTCTACTACTTTATCTTTACAGCTCGAAGGTAGTAGTCTAGTAGTATATAGAAGTCTGTGACGTTAACACTCCCGAGAACAGATTGAATGGCAAAGGTTCGTCCGAAATATTCGGAGCGTTCTCTTCGGTCAAAAACACACCCCGGCTCTCCAAGCAGAGTCGAGGAGTGTCGATTGAGATTAAGGGGATGCTGGAGTGATTCTGCACTTTTGCACCTTTCTAACCTAAAAACTGTCAGTTCACGGAAACATTTGTGTAATATACAAATTAAATGGCTTACGTGTACAGATCGAAAGCAGCTTGCTATTCCGGCCAAATGAAAGAACAATATGGCATCACTGAAACTAAGTTTGTAAGTCTAATAAAAAATAATAGTGAGCAACACACATACTACATGTACTGTATGTATGTATTGCTCACTATTATTTTTTATTAGACTTACAAACTTAGTTTCAGTGATGTCATATTGTTCTTTAATTTAGCCGGGATAGCAAGCTGCTTTCGATCATCTGTACACGTGCCATTTAATTTGTGTATTACACAAATCTTTCCACGAAACAGACAGTTTTAAGTGCAGAAGGTGCGAAAGTGCAGAATCACTCCAGCATCCCCTTAAATTAATTCTAAATGGAAAGCGACACGTGTCGATTTGCGTGAAAAATATCGACTGTGTTCGCCAAAACGAAAGCAGCCGATCACTGCCGGGGCAGCCTGCCTTCGAGTCCGTCCGTCCCGGAACGGCGAGGATTAAGATTCGCGCGCGGCGATATCACCGCGAAGAAGTCGAGTGTCGCGCGAAGACAGGTCGCTCTTCCGTATATATTGATCGCGGCGTGGCGTGAATCATGCGTACTCGCGCGCGCAATAATATTCCGCGGTTGGCATATTCATACCCTGTATAAATTGTCAGCCTGGACACGCATCGAGCCGCACCGTCGGGCCATTGTGACGACTGGCGCCCGTGTGACAATGAACTAGAAGAGTAAGAGAGAGAGAGAGAAGGAAACGAGTACGCGACGCTTCGTGAACACAGGTGCGCCTGGCGTCCCGGCGCCCAGAAGCGACGCGTCTTCTATCTCCCTCGTTGTCCGCTTTTATACCCTCTCTCGCGCGCTTGGAAAGCGGCAGACTTTGTGACGTTGATAAATCGCACCGTGAAAATGCAGTGTTTTACGAAAATTATAACAATTGACGCACATAGAGAGACAGAGAGAGAGAGAGAGAGAGTAAGAAACGCGTAGGCTCCAGCGAGCTAATTTATTATTACATCGCGTCGTTGTTACACGCAACGCAGGCATTTTCAGACGCTTTCCTTCGTAATTGATAAACAGATCGTGGAAAATTGCAGGAATTACCAAACATAATCGAAGCTAATCTCATTAATAGATTCCGAATGAACATTAATGTATGACGCGGAACAGATTCCCGCGAGGTCGAGGAGCGTATAGAATCGCGAAAAGAATTTTCTTGAGAGGGGTGCAATCAATATCGCGTGCGGAAACACGAGCTGTCCGGGAGAAATTGATAAATTAGCTACTTAACGGTTTAACACTTGGGCGATGGTGATTTGTCAGCAAAGGAAATTCCTGTTAACGGAACAACGGAAGTCTATGATCTCGCGTTACTGAAATCGGTCAAATTACATTTATGTTTCAGACGCGTATAAATATTAGAAATGTCAAAAAGTTATGAATTATTATTATTATAACCGTCGTTACGCGGGACCAGGGAGCAAACTCTTTCCGGCTCGTTTGATGAAAAGCGTAATAAAAAGTAATCAAGTTTCAAGGAACGTATTGTACTTGTATGCGTAATACAATATTTGCAGGGATGATTAGATACCTTTACTAAATAGACACAGCTAAGGTAAACCAATTTCTTTGTTTGTTATAATAGTGTAAGCAGTGCGGTAAGGCCTTCAAACGGTCAAGCACGCTCAGCACTCACCTGCTGATCCACTCCGACACGAGGCCTTATCCCTGTCAATATTGTGGCAAGAGGTTTCACCAGAAGTCGGACATGAAGAAGCACACCTACATCCACACCGGTGAGTGCCAGGCGATCTCGATCCACCGCGATGAGATTCCTTAAATGTTAACGAAATTGCGCAATTGAGTTTACGTCGCGACGAGTTGCGGAAAACGGTACAATCATTTTACGCAAATAACCCCGCACCGAGAAAAAATGAAGTTACTTGAATTAAACGTAAACGCCATTGTATTTGCTATGGATTGTACACTGATAGAAAAATATAGTTGAAATAACCATAATTTCACTATAATTTATAGTATCCTGAGGCGCCAAACATATAGAATAGTGCTTTG